AAATGTCAAAGAATTAAATTAATTTTTTTTTAATGAACAACCATGATCAAAGAAGAACTAAATTTTTTTGTTAATTTTTTTTAAAACTCGTTGATTTTATTTGTTAAATCTTTATAAAAAAAATATAATTTTGATATTCTTGCTTAATAAACAAATTAGCATATCTGAGCAACTCTAATCAACTTATTTAACTTGTATTCTAGGAGTTACTTGGGTAAACTCTCGGATTAGGTTTAAAAGAATGAAGATTTAACCTTGATCAACTCACTCTATTCGTGACCTAGGATTTCTTCGGGAACAACCCCTAAATCGGGTTTAATTAAAAACTAGGATTGAAAAAATAAGAATAAAATTTCATATGAAAATCAAATAAAATTAAACAATAAAAGATAAATTTGAAAATAAATAAATTAAGAAAATAAATAAATAAAAAAATTATAATGAAAAAAAATAGAATCCAATTAAAAAACAAAAAACATGTATGAAATTGAAAAGAAAATAAATTAGAAGAAGGATGAAAAGAAAAAATAAATATTAATTAAAAGAAAAGGTACCAAATTTAATATAAAAATAAAATAAAATAAAATAAAATGATAAAGAATAAAATTAAAAAAAAACATAAAATAATTTTAAAATAAATACAGAATAATAAAAACAATAAGTCCCTAATTGAAATAATACAACGAGATTTTAAAAGTCCAAAATGCTAGACTTCACAAGGGTAATCAAGAGTATTTCGGACTTTGCCCTCCATTTCAGACTTCACACTAGACAATCAAGAGAGGAAAAAACATATATATATATATATATATATATATATATATATATCTTAGATTAATTTTATAATATCAAATATATCCCATATAAAAATTTAAAAAATACTCCTAGAGCCAGCCTTTATGTTTCTCTCTTTCAAGAATAATTTAGTAAATTTATTGTGTGAATCCGAATTATGAGAGAGGTGCTATAGAAAAAAAACGCTCACTCTTTCAGTATTTTATTGCAATGTAACTAGATGAGGTACACCCGTTTTGCAGGTGCTGGTCTTGTACAGTCGAAGCCTTCGCTGTTTCCGAAGGCCAAGCAAAAAGCTGAAGACCATTAACGCGGGGCTGTCAGGGAAATCCGAAAATCTAGATAATTAAGAACAAATCACAAAATGAAAGGAAGCGGTGTGCATAGGGTCACAGAAGATGTAGCCTAGCAAGTAAGACAGGGCTGATGTACAGTTTATACAACAGAAAAACACACTGAACGCAAAAAAGACTGGAAAGCAGCATATATATCTGCAAGAAAGTAACGGTGAAAGGAGGTATTAGAGCAATTAGAAGAGTGAGAGTTGCCTGCAAATTAATTTGATGAACACATGTTAGCCAAGAGAAAGCTAAACCAATGAATACAAAAGAGTATAAACAGAGGGATCTTAGTTGTGTCACAGAAGAGTCAAGGCATGGGGAGCAGTAGGGAAAACTGATGTAAAATTTAAAGGGGATGAGTCGGAGTCCATGGGATAGCAGCAGGAGTTGTCACATTAATGAGCATCTTTTTGCAGGGATAGAAAGAAAGCGCAACAACATAATTAGATGAGAAGAAGATTCACCTAAGTGTGCGATGTTGGCGATCCTCGCTGTCTCTTTGCTTGCGGAGATGCGATCTGGGAATCTGAAGCTGAATCTTGCACTATATTTTCATCTTCAACGGTAGGATTGTCGGTGTGTGGTGAACCAGGATGGCTGTATGGAAAAAAAGAGGCGAAGAGCTTAAAGAGACAATGCATAAGCAACAGTCGCAGTTTTAACGAATGTTGTGAATAATGTTCAAAAGCAATACTGGATACATAAGGAGTGATCGACGCATGCATGGAAGGAGAAGGGTCGTAGTACGTAAACCTGCTGCGTGCCTCTGAGTCTTTGAAATTGAGTCTTCTTTTAGTTCCAGAGGGGGAGCAGGTGTCAAGATTTGCCAGTCTAGATGCATGAGGGTGTTTCTGAACAGGCTATATCTGCGAATTATACCTGTGGCAGTAAAGTGTTTGGAGGTGTGAGAGGAGTGGATCGTTGCTCTGTCAAAGAGCTGGATGAATTTGCAGCAAGGTGATCAGATGAATTAGGTGTTGCAGTTGTCAAAGTTGATCCAAGTTGTCTGTTGGGATCATCGATGGAGTTGCCATCGAAGACGTTTTTAGCAACAATGTCGCAGCCATCGGTCCCCGACTTGAAAGCACCAAGTCGAAGCTGGAAAATCCATTTTCTCTTCACTACTAAAAATAATTGGGATGTTGATTTAGCAATGAATCAACAATGGATTATGTATATATTAATTTTTTGATGTTAGTAACGGATTTATCAATGAAAAATCTGTTGCTAAAAAGAATAAATAATTTTAAAAATAGTATATTAAGAATCAGCTATTAGAATTTTTTAGCTGACTTGGTAGCAAAAAAATTTGGAACAAAAAAATCCACTGTTCTTAAAAAGAAAAATATTAGAATTACATTTTTATTAAAAGAAAGTGAAAAATAATTATGTGTTAATAATTAATTGGTGCACACATACCTTAAAAACATAATAAAAAAATTATGTTAGTTTCAATTAAAAATAGGTTGCTTTGAAAATCCAAAGTTAAAATTAAAATGAAAAAATAAAAACATACCAACCAACGGGAAATTGAATGTCAAAAAGGAACATGTGTAGTTATTGGAAAACAAATTGCCAAGACAAATCCAACCACATCTTGAAAGTATATTGTTGATCATCATACAACTCCACATATATTGTCTAAAAATAACATAGCGTACGTATAACACACTAGTGTGTGTTATTATTATTTTTATTAATATTTTATATTTATTAAAATATTAATTTTTTCATAATTTATTATAATTATAAAAAAATCATGATGAAAATATAAAATAAATCCTTGTACTATATTTTATTAATTTTTTTATTTTTAAAGATAATTTAATAATTTTACTGTAATGAAAAATGTAAAACATTTATATTGCCTCTAATTAATTTAATAATAATTAGTGAACTATGAAAAATATCAAATTACTCTAAATAGACTAGTCATTGATTTTTCATGAAAAAGGCAAGATAATAATTATATTAATTTGAATCTAGAGCCGCAATAAATATTTTGCCCTCCATTTTAGCTCAATAAGTACACAACCAAGGATGCTATTTTAAGGCTAACTAGTTGAAACTAGTTTACTACGGTTAAATTAAAAAAAGAAAATTAAACATAAGAAAAAAATTAAAGCTTAAAATATATTTAATATTATTATTAAACCTTATATAATAAATTAATTTTGAAATATAAGAGTTGCTTCCATATAATTAAATTGATCTGACAGGTTTTAAGATAATATAAACAATTAATAAAAAAATAATATAATTTTTTAAAATATTTAATATAATTATCTTTAAAAAATATTAAAACAAAAATATATTGTGCTTTCATGAATTAACACATCATGGATCTTCCTAGGTTTAAAAACTATTTTTTTTAATTATATTATAAAATTAAATATTTATAAAATTAAGATTAAATTAAATATCAAAATATTTGTTTGTTATTATAATAATCTTATAAAAAAATAAATTCAAATAATTTATGAAGATAAATTTAAATAAAATAAATATAAAAAGGATAATAAAAAATAACAAAAAAAAAGGAATTGAAAGGGATAAAAAAGGAAAAAAAAAAAAAAGAAGAGGCCACCTCCTCACTGTATGAACTTTTTAAGAGGTATTAAGTAATACCCTTGGATTTTGGGTCAGCATAAACCCTGACCCTATTCTTTTTTTTTTTTTTTTTTAATCTTGGTCCAAGTTATGATAGCCTTTTTACGAATAATTTTTAACCTCACCGGAACCAGCTATAACAATTAACAACTGTATAAATTTACTGGTATAATTTAACTAATTAAATTTTAAATTATTTTTTTAAATATTATTATTTTAAGTCTTATAAATTTCAGGGTACTGAAAATTTATATAATAATTAATTTTAGAATCCAAAAAATTAGTAAAAATATACACAAGCTGACCTGAATATTCATATTAATAAAAAAAATTAAAAACCATATGTTTTTAACAGAGGAGGTCAATTAAGTGGACCTAATAGTTTAAGGGACCAAAATAAAAATAAAACCAAAGGTCAAGGGTTGGGTTAAATTTAACTAATAATTCAATGAGTCTTTTATTATCTTTTCTTTTACTTAAAAAGTTCGATAGGTCTTGACACGCACAATAAAAGCCGAGCCTTTCTATCATATTATTATAACAAAAAAATTTTTTTTTGAAACTCACACATTATTTTACTAAAACAACCTATGAAACACAAAAATATTTTTAGAATCTTCAAGAAGTAACTACTAATTATTTATAGAAAAGGGATAAAAACAAAGAGAAGAAAGAAACATGATAAAAAGAATTAAAAAAATATAATTTAAAACCTAGAAATATTCTAATTATTTTTAGTGGATCCGAATGTAATTTTTATTTTTATTTGTTTTTCTTTTCCCAAATGGTTTATAAAATAAATATCAGTAGTTATTGCTTAAATATTATAGATTTTATCGTTAAATGCAACCCAAAGTTGCTATCTTTCTTGTAAATATCTATTTTTATTACATACAAATAAATACAATTTTTTTTTTACCCACATTGCAAGGTAAAATGTCAATGAAGATTAACATACTTTAGCTTTAATTAACATTTACAACTTTCTTTAGACTTTATAAATTTATATTTTTTCAATTTATTTTATAAAATAAAAGCATCATCTTTTCAATTCTCTTTTTATAATATTAAAAAACATATACATCATGCCGATACCTTCTTCATCACAAATTAAATCATAATCGCAACTTAGCGCAGAGTGCACTGAGCAGTGCCCACGGTCAAAAGCTGGTGGGTTGTGGCAAATATAAGAGATATTTTCAGGAGCCACCACAAAGAAACACTGAATTAAAAGAAAACACAGACAGGAGCAAATATAGAACTAGACAAGATCTGATAAGAAGCTATTTGAATTGCTGTGAGTCTGTCAGGTAGAACTAGACCGGATCGATTTGCTAAAGAAAACTTTTTGATTTACTGTGACTAGAATTATGATATATATATATATATATATATATAAACTATTTGAATTATGACTGGTACTAGAGCTAGACCGGATAAATTTCATGAACAGAAAGCTGTAATATAAATGGCCACAAAAAAAAAAAAGGGAAAATGAAGACTCCCAGACTCTTTAAAACTGTCCCTCGATCATACTGCGTGCTACATTCTACACGCTTTCAAGTTTCAAGTCTCATCGCTTTCTTTTACCATGACTGCTTGTCGTCAGAGATGCAAATGCAAAATCCCATTGTTCCTTATCGTATAGAGGTACCTTTTTACCATCAATGAAGGGAATCCAGGTATCTTCATTTGCATTTGCAAGAACCCATTCGGTCCTATCAGGAACATTAAAAGAATCAAAGTTCAAAGCAAAACTTGTGTTTGCGCCAGACTTGTTTTTATCACCCTTTAAATTCCCTGCAGACTTCCAAAATTATACGAGTTAGTTCAGAGGAAAAACAAAATGTCATAAGAGAAATCGAGGGGCCGATCCTTTAGTCTAAACAGAGATTTCTTACTCACATTAGTATCGGCATCAGAGTTCTCATTCAATTTTCCCTTCTTCTTTATGGTTCCAGTTTCCAAATAATATTGAACATCTTTCTTGGACCTGAACTTACGACCTGAGGCAGGATCAATGTAATACTGCACGAGATACAGACCATTTAGTTGATGCTTGAAATTTTACTATCTAAACGAATAGTCCATTTGTCAAAATAGTAATTTTGATACAATTCTCTCTTTTACCAAAAGACTTCTAACATCTACTCTAGGAAATCAAAAACACAGATTAAAACCACAGTTATGTGATGTCATGTGATGGAATCATAACACTGAATCTAGCCACGCAATAGAGTAAGATCTGACATTGTAAAGACAATAGAAAAATCTAATCACTCTCAAAATGCTTCTTCATCTCAAGAGTAGCATAGCTCTGAATTATTAATTCTGGCCATGCATACTGAAGCTTCTTCCAACCATTCCTGAACTTTGAGAAATGAGAACAGAAACAGTTCGCTTTTTTCTATCATGTCATGTCTATAAGTGTGTTATTCCTTTTGTCCCCATAAGGGCAGCTTGAGGAACTATTCTAACCATAAACAATTCTTGGAAAATTGGACAAATCCAGGTTAATGGAGTTTTTTCTTTCTTTCTCTCTGTTTTTTTTTTTTTTTTTAGCATGCAGGGAGGCAGCTTTATTTATCAACATCTTACATTGAGTTGATGAAGAGCTAAATGCATGGAGATTGTGAATTTTGAGCAAGAAAAAAGGACATGTGGGATATGTATATTTTTAGCAGTGTTTTGGGTTTCGTAAAATAAGTGAATTCAGAGAGCAATCTAAAGAGATGATATATTCTCAATTCTTCAGAGAGCGTTTGGGTTAAACACAGCACTTTTGGCAATTGGCACACAGAATAAGACTTCTTCGCCAATGAAGAGGAGTTCTAAAGTTTCATGGGTAATCTTGTATACTGTTCATCTGTTGTATAGATAGTGCACACGGTAGTTTCTTTTACTTCTACAAATAGTTGGGAACTGTCGTCGCCTATATTAGCACATTCTTTAACTTTATTTGTACAGTCATTTATCTGTGCTTTGCATGCAGGATATAATAAAAATGCTTAAATACCTGGGAAGGATTTTATAAGCTTTTTTAGTTAAATTTACCCCATAATATATGTATAACATTAGAGTTATTTTCTATTAGTTTTCATCTACAGTCAATATTGACATGGAGAATAAAGGAAATATAAAAATATAACTCTATGGAAACTATGAAAGAGAACTCTAAAATCAAATGAAAAGGAAAAGGATCTTATGATAGATAATTAAAGCTGTTGAGAATAGAAAGAGTAATATATCAAGCTTCAAGGTTATTTTTAGATAATCTATTTCAAATTTTCAATCCACTTGGTAGTAAGCATGGTAAGGAAAGAAAAAAAGACAAGTTTAAAATATTTACACTATTTCTTTATTTGCTCCACAATATCAATGTGTCATTGATTACATGATTTTTAAAATATGATATTCCAAACATAACTTTTAATGTTGCCGGCAGACAACAAATATTTGTGCATTTAAATATAAGCTAAAAGATATCACAAAAGTATGCCTATGGCTGTGGCATAAATTCTTACTACAAAGCTTATAATAATGAGACATTTTATATTTTGACTCTGAAGTTATACTGCTACGAGTTTAATGGCAGAAGCAATTGGAATTGGGGAAAAACACTATACCATCTTCATTGCTTTTTCTATAGTTACATACTGGATTTTCAGGACCTCAAAGATATGCTTCTCCATGATTTTAAGAATATTAGGACTTTTGATTTGTAAGGCGGTATCTTCAACCTCTACACAGGTAGAAACCAAAGAGCTTTTGAACTTAACAAAATTTTCAGAAATAAGACGATGCAATTAAGGCCATAAATGACTTTCCAGATGTCACTGCATTTAAGCAGATAGATCCAAAATTGAAAAAAATAAAAAATAAAAAGCTATTTCAAACAATGATCCAATTTTTTTTTCAAAAAAAAACTATAAACTAAAAATTAGGTAAAGATATAGTTTGTTGTCTTAAATTTAGTCACAAGTAATCAAATATAGTAGATAAAAAAAAAAAACTATAGTTGCTATGAATGGAAACTAAAAAAGATAATGACAGGCTAAAAGATCAACTTCATAAAGATAGGCTAAATGAATTTCAAAAATAAATAGTACCTTCTGGCCATGAGAAAAAAAATAAAAATAAATAGAACCTTCTTTTTTGGCCTTATATTAACCTCTACGCATCTGCCTTTGCCTTGGAGTTAATTGCCAATTACTTTCTAAAATCACCAATGCCTTTAAAACATAATATTTGTTTCTATATTCAATGTAATGATTTATTAGAAAACATATAAAAATGTAAGTCTACACGTATATCCGTTCCTATTTTCTCCGCTATATTCGTCTCCATCACACGTTCTTCCCATGTTTATTTCTCATTCCCTCTTCTAACATTCTCTGTCTTCTCTTATGTCTTTGTTTCCCCAACAATCAACATGAATCGGTGGATCAATTGTCCTCCAGACCTCTATTATCCTGCTTCTCTATTTCCTCATCTTTGCTTGTTGTTAAGATTTGGCACATCATGACTGAATAAGTAGTCATGTTTAGCCCATGATCTGTAGACAAAGAACGCCGCATCTATGTGTAGTTTTTTTACTTCTCTAAATGGTTGGGAACCCTTGTCACCTATATTAGCACATTCTTTCACTTTATTTTATAGGAGAAAAATCCTGTGAGTATGTGCATGTGTGCATGTGCGAGTTGGTCAACATCCCAGAGCCTGAACACAGGGAGTTACTAACAGCATTTGATGACTACGGAAGAAGTCCATGACGCCATCTCATGAGCTGTGCTGTTCCACCCTTTTCCTTTACCCATGTCAAACATATGTTGGTAGCTAAAACAGAGCTGAATACTACTTATTATCCCTTAAATACATGAATAGAGTTGTTCAAAGTGGCTAACACTGAAACACCATTTGAATTTGACCCAACTCAAGTTTTGACAAACGCCCCATGCTACAGAAACCCTTAAAACTACAATACGCAAGCATTTATGTTCTCATATTAGATGCAAGCTACAATGAATGAATGTAGAGAAAATAAAAATCCCCTACTGCTTCAATGTTTGAAAATAAAGTTTTACAACAAAATTCTAGCTCTCACAACCTAAAAGTATTTTCATAAATTAGTGATAATGCTGTAATAAGCCTCGTTTTATGAGATTGCAAATATTTGTAAGATAGCAGCTGAGTCTATCAGTAGTTTTTTTTTTTTTTTCATATCCAAGATTAAGCAAGCATGACGCATTAATACAATTATCTCCCCAGAAAAGAGAAAATCTAATTTGATGAAAAAAATGCTAATTAATTGAGAACGGACTGCAACTAACTAATTAATTGAGAACGAACTGCAACTAACCTTATCTACGGTGCCAGCTGTCGCGCCAGAGGTCCTAATCCGATCTTCAACAACCCATCCCGGCGGCAACCAACTGGTCTCAATGGTCGTTTCTGATGATCTTCTCTTCGCTCGAACAGGCGTCACCGGTTGTTGATTGCCTTTGTTGTTCGGTCTGGTTAGGTTTTCAACGGCGGTGGTGCGGGTGCTGGGGTTGATAACTGAGCCGTTTTGAGGGATGGCATCATCTTGATTGCGTACAGGCGGGTCCGTGCACGGAAATTGAGCCGGAGTTGCTGTGTCTGACATTGCTTGAAGATTTTGACTCTGAATGAACGTAGTATTTCCAAGTACACAAATTTTCGGTTTGATGAAAGAAAAAAAGGATTCAATAAAGGATCTTGCCCAGTCAACCTAAAGTAAATAAGAGGCAGGAGCAAACAATCTAAATTCACTATTTCAGACAGTGTAAATATGTTTTCCTAGCACACTCCTTTTCGGTTGCTGTTTTTTTTTAACCAGCTTTGTGATTTTTCTTTTTGTGTTTTTTTTATTATGTTATCTTGGTAATATGATCTATCATGACTAACTCAGTTTTATCCTACTCTTTCATATGATTTTTTTTTAAATATCATTAATATTTTTTCTAATATTATTTTTTTTATTAATGTTGGTAGTAGTAATAATAATAATTTTAACTTACAAAATAATACATTTCCACTTCTAGTTATAAAAAAAAGCTAAATAATATAGGTTTTCACTATCATTTTGGAAACAAATTATTTTGGATTATGATTAAAATTTATTTAGATGGGATGTGTAATTAAGAAAAACATGAAAAGTGTTTTAATATTTTTCATATTGTTTTCTTTTACTTTTTTTAAAAAAATGTTGTGCTCCACATGTCTTAACTAGTGGACAACATCCATTCCATTAAGAAAGTGCGTGAAACACCTCTTAGTGGCAAAATTTAGTCATATGTTATCTAGATAGATGTGCAAACGTGCTAGCTTCATGTGGTATGACCCATGTAAAGATATCGTGATTAGATTACCACCAATGATTGATTATTTGTGGTTTTTCTTTCTTTTCTCTCTCCTGACAACTAAAATACACAATTGTTTTCTGTTTGCTTGGATTTGACAATTATATTTGGTGTTAGACCCAGGCACAGGTGATCAAGGAGTAAGGTTTCAACATGTCTGCTAGAACCAAAAACGGGTCTATCTACCAACATTTCCAAACCTAGGTACGACTATGCTAAGGTTGCCAAACCCAGACGCAGGTCTAGCATGGCTCCAAACCTATGGCTCTTGGCTCTAGCATGACCATCATATGTTTTTTTCCCTCTCTTCCAACAACTAAAATGCATAGTTATCTAATATTTGTTTGTTGTTTGCTTGGGTATAGTAAGAGTTGGAGACCCAAGCACCTTGGTCTGACAAACACATCAAACTTAAAGTTCTTAGGTGTGGCAACAATATTTGGCCTAAGAACCTTGAACTTGGCAACCTTATTTGGTTGTCAAAACCAAATACAGGTCTAGCATGATTATCATGACTCACAAGATTCAAGACTCGTGAATTTAGTATAATTGTCAGATCTAAATTATTTGGATTAGTATAATCATTAGATCCAATTTGTTCGAGTTTAATGTAATCGTTAAACTTAGGAGGTTTAAAATATTTTTAATATTTTTAGATTACAATTTAATCCTCTTTGTCATTATTTTTTTAGTTATACACTACATATGGTTAAAATAGATAAGGAATTTACTATTTTACCATTGTTCACGTAAACTCATGTTATTCATCCCAAGTATCAAAAGTCCCTGAGTTTTTTTTGTTGTTTATACTTTTATTATTATACTTTATTTCTTTCTTTCTTTTTATCCTAGCAAGTTATATTGATTCGGTTTTATTTATTCATTACATCAGAGATTACTATTAATAAACACAACTATAGGATTCAATTTAAAAAAACTGAATGAAAAAAAAAACTTAACTGAAAAAAGGGTTGTTTTTATTATTATTAATATTATTATTGTTGTTGAAGAGGAGTGTCTTTCTACTCTTTGTCCCTTGCTCCTTTAAAAGTCTATGTTTCTTCTTTCTTGCATCCGATTCCCTATGAAGAAGAGAGAACCGTTGGGAAGAGAACTTTGAATTAATCATATATCAGCTACAAAATCAAAAATCAATCTTGTTATTAATAGATTCATCTTTATAATTGGCAACGTTTGGTTACTATCTAAAAAAACCGAAGACAGTAAAGACAGAAAGTACATGTCCCTCTATACTTTTTTTTTCTTTAAATCATAAATTTAATTTAAAATTATTTCAAAGATGTATTTAGTTTATATTTTTGTTTTTGTCTCTTCAATTAAATATGTTTTTATCCTTTCTGTATTTATTTTTTTGTCATAGAACACTAACTAAATACAACTCAATTATACTTGAAAAAAATAAATCGAAGTATAAAATTTTAATTTGATGTCGAGTTTTTAGAAAGGGTTATCAAGGCTCTAAAATGTAGAAACTGACGAAAGGTTGAAGAAGATACCATTGGATGACACGTGTTCTAAATGGCGAGTCCATTCCTGCCCAGCACGTGTAGGCTATTTCAAGCGGAGGCTTAGTTCAAAGCCTTCGCTCTGTTTTTTTTTTTTTATTTACTGATGCATTTTTATTTTTTCGTCTATTATGTATTTTTCAATATTTTATTCTAAGAAATGGTTTTTTTTTTTTAATGTGTGTTGTTGTTCTTCGAAACTTCCTTTGTCATTCCATCAAATAAATACTGAAGGAAATTAGTAGCGACAGTAAATTATAATTTATTATATAATGTCTAGTTTATATCGATAAATAAATGCATTAAACAAAATAAGTTATTATTTTAATTATGTTTTGTCCATCATTAAATAAACAGAATGAAAAGTTAATGTTTTGTATTATCAAATACAATTCTATCTTCATTTTATTCATACTCATTGACATGTTTCCTTACTATTCATATCATTTTTTTATCCCTAAAATTTTTATTTTTTGTGCTTTAATCATTATTTTTTTTAAATTTTTTCATCCTTACAAGTTATATTGTTTTGATTTTATAACATTCAGTTAAAAAAATAATTGAAAGAATAAGAATTGAGATTAACAGTAAAAAAGAAGAAGGTTTTTTTTCTCTTTTTTTAACAATTCAAGAGGCGCTTTTTTCTACACTTGGTTCCTGTTTTTTCTTTTAATTTTATATTTCATTCATAAATTTTTTTTTCTTTATATATATATATATTTCAATCTCTAACAGATATGAGAGAAGACAGAAAGCTTCCATAAAAACAAAAAAAGAGATAGAAAACATTTAATGGATCATATTTTGGTAAAAAAAAAAAATTAGGGCAAACAAGTTTTTTTTTAATGCAAAGAGTTAAATAAAGATTGTTTGGATCTTTAATCATTTAAATATGTTTTTTTAAAGGAAAAAAAAGTTGAAAATTGGGTTTTGAAATGTTGAAAAACTCAAACTTAAATTTTCAATTATTAAAGGTGATCAGGGATGATCATTTTCTATTTACTTTGATTTTTTATTAAGAAAAATAATTAAATTGAATTTAAAATCAATTCAAATCAATTGATTGGTTTTTTATTAAGAAAAATAATTAAATTAAATTTTAAAAAATTTAAAATCAATTCAAATCAATTGATTTCGGTTCGGTTTTTAGGATGAAAACCTGTTAAAACCGGTTTTGCTTTGTTTTTTTAGTTTGGTTTGGTTTCTTTTGATTTGGTGTAGTTTTTTTCCTATTTTGTTCAATTTAAATTCGGTTTGGTTTAATTTTTTTGGTTTCAAGTTTAAAAAACCGAAACCGAACCGAACTGGTCAGTTTTTTCAAAATTTTAATCTATTTAATCTTTTTTATAGTTTAATTTTTCAGTTATTTTTTCTATTTTCTTAGTTTAATTGATTTTTTAGTTTTTTTTATTATTACTTAAAAATATCCCTAAAGGTGACTGATATTTGTTATACAATGATATCATGCTTTTCAAATGAGATTAGATGTTTTTAATGATAATATTATTAATTACTTTCTAGATAATTATACATGAATTTAATATTATTTTTTTCTCACATTTCTCATAAATATTCAATGAGTATAACATCTTGTTTTTTTGAAGTTTTTGTACAATTTTTCTCAAATTAATCATTCTTTTATTTTTTTATAAGCCATATTTTTTTTATCTTTTAGTGAAACTTGCTTTTAAAATCATAAAAAGCTTTTATTAAAAATGTCATGCTATGAATAAAAAAATTATTTTTCTATATTAAAAAATACATAAACAAACAGCACAGCTCTACCTAGACAGATTCATGTATCAAGTTTTTTCCCCCAATAAAAGTTTTTAAAATTAGATAAATACTATTCTCGGAACGGAGCGCTCGGCGGCAATTAAACTTGTTTAATTGTGACACTAAATCTAATTAGCAAATATTATAAAAATATTTTGTTTCGATAATACAAGAAACAAAAACATAACTTTTATTACGGGAAGCAAAACCGGGTGACGAACCATAACATCAATGAGAGCAGAAAACCACAGGTAGCCGTCAAAGCAGATTAGAACCATTAAGTTCCCCTCCCTTGCAGAAGAGAACATAGCAACAACATTGATAGATAAAAATTTCGGCAGCAATAACTCAAAAATTTCAATAGCAGCAGCTCAGAGCACTTGTGATGATGAAAAACACAGGAAACAGCAGTAATTGCAGCCCACAATCACATCACAGCCCCATGAGACGATCAGACGGCCTCCAATTGCAGAAAACATGGTTGAAGCATCATAGCAGCAGCCTGCGAAGCTGGCTATAGCTACAACTTTATGAATGATCCGACCTTCAAAAAAAATATTCGGAGTCATCACTTGCACCACCGTCCCTTGGCATTATTGACTTCTTGTTTTATCTCTCCACCACCAATGGACTATTCCTTCAAGCCATACTGTCGTCTATGAAATCTTCTGACGGTCACTACAATCAATACAATAGCAAAGTCAAACCCAAGTTAATTATTCATAAAGAGAAAACCATGGCTGATAGAAAGGAATATTTCACTGCATTTTTCATGGGTGATTCAGCTCGAAGGTTGTTTGCTCTTGAGCCCTTTAAGAGACGCTATCTTTTCTTACAAATTATAATAAATCAAAATAAAAGTTGCAATAACTGAATTTCCACTGGGCATAACAATCACGAAAAGAAGAAAAATGAAACCAAATGTTAACTGGAGTAATCGCATGAGGTATTTTTTCTTATACTATATATTTTGTTTTTTCAGATTTAGCATAAAGAACGTATCGGTGAAAGGCACTTGTAGAGATGCATAGCATGAGAGCAAATGGGGTCCTATAAGTTGAAACATATTTAATTTCTAAAAGCAAGTTGTTGTGAATAGAACACACCTGACGAGAAATACAGAAGGAACACCATTTCTTGTTATATACAAGATCACACTCGATTTCTTTCATGTCCTTCACCTTTTGCTTCCACATACAACTACTGACACACTAAACAATTATAATTTTTGTTAAGGAAAATGAATGAAATGTAGAAGTACAGCAATAACAACTTGAGCATACCAGAATCAGGTCGAAACTGTCATCAGGCTATATGTCTCAGCATCTGGCGTAGCACCCCCTAAAATATCCTTCTCAAGAGATTTGGATTGTTGGCTTTCACATAAGCCTCTATTTAGATATTCAATACAAAAGCATCCCTTGTGTACTTTGTTTTTGTGAGTTCTTCAAACACCTCAGCATTAACTACTTCACCCTTTTCTGCAAAAAATTCAATTATTAAAAGAGTAGTCTCCAACCACCGGGTTGAATTCTTTACCCTATTGCTTGTTGTCGATTCTTTTCAAACTTGAGCAAATCAAAATCAGGGTCGAAACTGCTCAGCAAGTTTGATCAGGCTATATGTCTCAGCATCTGGCCTAGCACCCCCTAAAATCATCCTTCTCAAGAGATTTGGACTGTAAATCTTGGCTTTCACGTAAGCCTTTATTAAAATATTGAATACAAATGTATGCCTTACATACTTTGTTTTAGCAAGTTCTTCAAACAACTTCTCAACGTTCACTACATCACCCTTTTCAGCAAAAAGTTCAATTATTGATAGAGTAGTCTCCAACCATGGGGTTGAATTCTTTACCCTATTGCTTGTTGTCAAGTCTTTCCCCATTTCTAGAGTCTTTAAGGCTTCCTCCACCAAGTTAGCCTTTAAACAACCCAATGCAAGATGTCGAAAAGTTATGGAATTTGCTTTGCACCCATTGATCTCCATTTCCCTAAAATTCCCAGTTGCTTTCTTAATAAGCCCATGTTTACAATACACGGATAACATGGAATTGAACTGCTCAGTTGATCTCAACCCATGTATTGACTTCATCTCTAACCAAAGCTCTTCAGCTCGGCTAAGCTGTCCAATTTTACCATATGCTTCAATTGCAAGCATGTAACTTTTAGACCTAACATGAGGCAGTTCTTGTACAATGCCCCAAGTTCTTTCTAGTTCCTTCTCCTTTCCTAAATGTCCGTACAATATGATCAAAACATCAAGTGTTGACCAGTTGTCTCCGCTACATGACTTCTCCACAGCTTCAACATATGCTTCAGCTACAGTATACAACCTTGCCACTGCATGCGCGGTAGCTAATATGCAGAAAGATACTTCATTCGGCTCAACTTTAAATCTCTTCATATCATTATATACCTTCACTAACCCATCAATATTATGTTCATTTGCTTCAATCTTCATCAGGATATTATATGTTGAAACATGGGGAACCACCTTATCAGCCCTCATTTGAGCAAGGATTTTCGGGATCATTTTCCTACTGCCAGGTGAGGAATGGAGGATTATAAGGCGGTTGAAAATCAAATATGAAATGGGATGACCTTGTTCCCTCATTTTCTTCATGTAATCAAGTGAAAGCCTAATGACACCTTTTTCCAAGCATGAAATTACAAGATTGTTATACAGCAACTCATTCTGAAACTCAGACGGGACACGCAAGAAGAGCTTTTCGCCATGTGATATCCCATGATGTTTGGTTGTGAATTCCAACAAATAAGAGTAGTCGAGTTCCTTGAGCTTGTAGGGCCTCTCCCTTACTACCCATTCCATCACCTGATAAAATGTTGTGGTGTAGCTCGTTAAAGCATTTAGACAAGAACTAACATTGCTATTTAAGTTATGTTCTCAAAGAACTATAAAGACAACACTAATAAACACACCTCAAGTGCGCGTTTGTTTAATCTGAGCTTCCTTAAGCGATTAATGGTGTGAAAAACATCACCTCGATGAATGGGAAAACCCTCGCCCATCCAGCTTTGAAAGGCATATCCAACTGATTCTCCTTTCGGAAGTTTCTCAATTCTCAAAGATAAGCACTTTGGTCCTTCTGGGTCTAAGCTTTTCTTGGGAAATTTATCACTTGTGTGGGTATTTAGAAAGTTGAAGCAAGTATAAGGTGTTTGATAGACAGATAAAGAGGGGATAAAAAGTGTTTGATTAATTGTTTGTGAGAACCTGCGATGCCTCAAAAAAGCTAGCGCCTGCATGCTTTTCTGTATTTCAGGACAAGTGGACTAGAAGAAGAGTACAAAGGTTTTGCCTTTTCTCCAATTGGATACTAGTGCCTGAAAAGGTTAACAGGTGCAGTGTAAAAGTAAAACCAAAAGTCAGCCAGCATCAAAATTTTGACGAGGATATATCCTACTTGAAAGTGGAAGCAGCTAATATAAAATCTTCTTACCAGATAACGCTAAGTGATTCCCTCTAATGCAGACCATAAAACTCAACTCAGTTACCATTGACTCCATAACAGCTGCTGCAACAAATGGTAGGGAACATAAATAACTGAAGCATTAACCTTTGTTCCAGTTGTTGTTTGTTCAACATACTTGAAACAGGAATTGCAAAGTTTTCTGCTTGACCTTGACCCTTCTGTGGTGTTATGCGATCAACCTACTTCAATGAAACAGTAACTGGAAAATTGGTAAGATCTCTATTTAGGTAACAAGTTCTTTACAAAATTGACACGCATAAGTTTCTCATTTGTGTTTAGTTCTGTTTGTGCACCAGCTCACCGACAGCTAAAATTGAAACAGATACATACAAACGATGATTCTATATCAATATGTTACATATTTCTAACAAGCCATAATCAATCCTGGACGTTCACTCCTATCATATTAAATCTCTCACTTGTACCTAAATCCCTAAAGGATCCTTCGTCATTCAAAGCTGTTAAACTTAACACAGAAAATTCCATGATGACTAAAAGAAGCCCTTGCTGGGTGGCAACCCCAATAAATAATCTCTCCTTTGTAAAAGCACCGCATGAGCTCATTTCCACCACCCAGTTGGAGCCCGAATTCACATTTCCCAGAATCCCACCAAATCAGTTAAGATTAGTCACAATGCACAAAATAAAAGCAAGCGCGCAACACTGAGGGAAACAAGCTGCTTTCGCTTCTTATGAATAATGAGATTACAGAAGCAAGGAATCCCAATAGGATCATTATTAAAAAATAAATTCCAATAACAAATACATAATTTGCACTACATTTTTTGACTGCTAGAAAAACATCAAACATCTTATGTGCATAGACGCAAAACACACACAAAGCAATCGAAACGGTAATCCATGCATCCAATGGCTGATTATTAATAAGAGCAAACACTAAAAAGGGAAAAGAGCAAACCCTAAAAAGGGAAAAGAGAAAACGACAGAAATTAAAAGGATATCCAAGAACAAAGATAAATGGACAGAAAAGGAAAGAAATTGTTAGGAAAGCTGTTAGTTGAGGAGATAAGAGCGAACCTAAAATTTCGCCATTGGATTTCTATTCGAATTGTAATAAAGATGATGGGCTTCCAATTCCATGGCTTTTGTGTTGCTGGTGGTATAGTGCTTGTGCTACTGCTGGAAATGCAGCGAAGAAGGCGGAAAGTGCAAACGGGTTTTCAGGGGAGGAGGAGGAGCTTATTTAAATTTAAGGCTAGTTTAATTTTCGTAAAAATCTGATTTAATTAAAAAAATTAAATGATGTCGTTTTATGTTTATGTTTTTAAAATTTTTTAAAATCATATTATTTTTATATTGATTTTGATAAACTATTACCCTATATATTATTCATGAATTAAATCTTGAGTTAAGTTATGGGTGTAATTATAGGGTTGATTGGATTAACCTTCGACCCAACTAAAGTTTTATAAAACCCATAATATAGAACTGAGTTGATCTATCTTATTAAACAGGGTTTAATAATATTATTTTTACCTACAAAGTTTAGATGGCTTATCAACCGAGTTTTTTTTAATTAGAATGATATTTCAAAAATTATTTAATTGTATCAATATTTTTTAACCAAGGTTAAAAAAATTTATGGTTATGTTCTCAATTTTTTGCCATAATTATATTAAAATTAATATATATCTTAAAAAAATTGTATATGAATATCCAATGAGATTAAAATATTTTTTATTCTTAATTTTTATGTTTTTAAAATTAATTATTTTTGTATTTTTTAATAGTAGCTATAAAAAATGAGATATTTTTTTCTTAGCTTAAAACTATCTTACCAATTATGATATATGAAAAACTGTAATTGATAAAAAAAAAACTATTTTTTTTGTCAAAACCCAAAAAAAAAAAATTAATTAATGAAAGGAGTGTTTTGGCTAAAGAAATATATTTTAATCATATATAATCATTGTAAAAAAATATTATTAATGAAAAAAGTCATGCTTTTGTTAAAAAAAGTAAGAAAATGAATTTTTTATTTAAAAAAAATGCTTTTTTCAATCTCCTTGCCCATGTTAATAGATTGGAAACTCCATAATAAAAAAAATTTAAAGTTCATTTTCTATCAAATCATAGGTTAAATGATGAAATTATATTAACAAAACATACAAAAATTATGATAAAAAAATAAGAGAGAACATTGAAATAAAAAATTAATTAGAGGGCATTAAAAAAATTTAAATTGGAGGGTTAATTTAAACACACATATGTTTTAACCAAAGAAATAAATCAAAAGAATGAGGGCTAAATTAAAAAAATTAAAACAACATAAACCTTGATTAAATGATAAAAATAAAAATCAACAAAACTTTAACAAAACAAAAGCAAGGGAAAAAATAAAAAATTAAAAGAATAAAAATTGAATTGAAAAAATTATATATGACAAATTGTCATTCAAGGATTAAATTGATAACATTTAACACTTTTATAACAGTACCGAGGATGAAAATAAATAATAAAAAATATAAGGATTGAAATTGATAAATATAAAGAAAAGATAAAAATAAATAAATTGGAGGGTTAATTTAAAAACAAATAAAATTTAACAAAAATAAAAATAAATCAAAAGAATGATGGCTAAATTAAAAATAATAAAGGGATATAAAATTTGATTAAATAATAAAATTAGAAATCAATAAAGCTTTAGCAAAAGAGCCAAGAAAAAAAATGACAAAGTAAAACAATAAAAACTAAATTGAAAAAATAAATTCTGACAAATTATAATTTAAGAACTAAACAAATATACTTAAAAACTTTTATAATAGTACTAGGATGAAAATAACACAATAAAAAAAATATAAGGACTGAAATTGACAAATCTAAGGAAAAAAGAACAAAAATACACTTTCTCTAGAAAAAAAAAATATCACCGATAACGAATTTCTCATCATCCCCCGTCATGAATGGTACAATGACGAATTCAAAAACACAATGAAAAAGATAGGTTTAGCTATCGAAAAGCATCATACGCCACTTGAACATCACAAACGACGCTCACTTGTCAGTATGTGAGCGTCATGCACCAACAATTTTTTTAAATAAAAAATAATTTTTCAACATAAAGATACCAAAATACTTTTAAGAGATTAGAAATCACACACACAAAAAAAAAATACTGAAAGTACACAAATGCCCCTAAACACATATCTTGGTTTTTATCTACAAAGATACCAAAATACTTTTATGAGATTAGGAATCACAAAAAAAAAAAAAACTACTGAAAGTACACAAATACCCCTAAACACATATCTTGGTTTTTATCTTTTCTAAAGGTCTACTGGTATTTATATTGCATTCTAAAATATATATAAAAAAAACTCTTGATAAAAAACTTTAATTTTTTTGATGATATAAAATATTTTAAATATTTCAAAGCCTTGCAAAAAACTAAATAACTCTTGGTTAATGGTTCAACAAATTGTAAATTCTAGAGGTAAAATTGTATTTTTACTATACAAAAAAGAATAGAAAAATATTAACATACCCCTAAACAATTTCTTAACAACTAATGTATGGTTGAAAAATACTAAATTATTTTCAAGACCAAGACACTTTCTTTTTTCAGCATAGGTGTAAAATGATAATTTTATTATAGCAATTTAAATTAAATTGCAACAATTGAAAAATTGAAAAATCCACACGCTATATATTTTTTTTAAAAATATCTTGATCAATTTAAGAACAAGTAATAAGAAAAGCATGTTTTCAAGGAAAGAGAAGACTCCTAATCAAGCAAGCTATGTTACGTCATATGAGCTCGGAAAACCACCGATACGAAGGCGAATGGGGAGAGAGTGGCTAAGGTCTTGGATGTGTGATGAAAGTTTTTCTGCTTAAGGGAGGAGAGAATTATTGTATATAATCATGATTACTATCCAGGATAGTCAAATGCTAGAAATTGCTTCCTTAATTGTAGATTGTTACGTATTGGGATTAGAAAAGACAAAATCAACAGTGTAAAAGCAAACGAAAAGTCTATGAAATGAATCAAAAGGGTAGAAATAAGTCAACAAACATAAAAGCAGAATCAAGCTTCCAATTAAAGATACATAATTCCATGGAAAGGATCCAACATAGCAGCAGGAAACACAAGACACTTACAGATTACTAGCCATCAAATGAAATCCTGTAGAAAGGATTTGAGGAGGCCATGGCTAGCAAACTGTACTTTAATTTACAGCAAATACTATATTAGACCAACATGGAGTGACCAGACTTCTTTTTTTATTTATTATAGTTCCATAAAACTGCTTGGTTGGAGCCATGCGGCGACGTGTTCTCATTTGCAGGAGCATGGATCACAGGTGCAGCTTGATCCACATTTGCAGCCATTCTCAGCACCAAAGTTCATCTCAGAGCTCTCGTAGAACCTGCAGCAGCAGCAGCTAGTAATTAGTCCTTAATCTCCTGCAAGTTCTATGACTATATAGTTCATCTGCAGTACTGTGACTGAATGACACGTACATCCTAACTGGGGCAACACCAGCAATGATTGTCTGACTTGTGGTGGTCTCGGAGAAACTCAAGTCTGGGTACATGCCGCATCTGCAATGGGCATGCAGAGGAAGATGTTACAAAAACAGAAAAGCTGAGTGTCAGATTCATCTGAAATCTTATCAGCACTACAAAGAAGTAATTAATGAAAGAAAATAATAGCAAATTGATTTTTTCGAAGAAAGAAAGAATCACCCATTGCAGCCACTGCCGCACTTGCAGCCAGAGCCGCAGCCACAGTTTCCTCCACAGCAAGACATTTTCTGTTGGAAAAGAAAGAGTGTGATGAAAATTTCTTTACTTGGAAGAATTCACTCAAGCTAAGTCCTCAGGATGATTTATCAGGTTTTGCCCTTAGCTGCTATTTATAGTGTAGTTCAGGCAAAAAGGAGGTTAATATCCACCATACACGTGGTTATATCTTAGGCTAATAGCGTCTGGTGCTTGCCATCGAATTATAAAGCAATTTTCACATTAACTTCCCGTCATCAAAATTACAAATCTCCTATAATTGGCTTGAAGAAGTAGAGCCTGTGATAATTGATATCTCTGAACAATTAAATATGTAATTATCATAATTAAATAATGATATGACTTAAATAAATTATTTTAATAATTGGCTTGAAGAAGTAGAGCCTGTGATAATTAAATAATGATATGACTTAAATAAATTATCTAAACTAACTGAAATATTTATGGAACAATAAAATAAATTTAGATCTAAAAAAATTAGTTGTGCCTAATGAGAATAATTTTTTTATCTAACTATTAAATTGAACTAAAATTTTTACAATAGTTTTCAAAAGATTATTTTATGTGTTTTGCTTGTGTTTTTTGTTTTTAATTATCAGGTACGAACTATGAAAATACTGGTTAAAATGGTGTGTTATTTTTCCTTGACTTCATCTAGCTAAATTATAAAATATAAAGCTTTTAATTCTAATATAATAGTGTGTTACTCATGATGCTAAATAAATATACGTAATTCTCATTATTCTCATAGAAAAATATCATCGAAGATGCTATCCAAATAATAATAATAAAAAAAGAAGAAGGAGGAGGAATTGCATACTTGTATTATCAGTCTAATTAATTTTTTATTAATATAAGTATTTAGATTATCTTACATGTATATTAATTAATTTTATAAATTTTAAAATTAATAATTATATAAAATTTTAATAATCCTAAAATTTATAAAATATCATTAAACTAATTATTGATGAGTCATAAGTGGACTCACAATATTTCTTCTAAAAAATATTTACATTCACTCGGTTTTATAATTAAGGATCAATTACAATTTAGGGTTGTTGAGTTGCAAAATTCAGTTAATTAAATGCCTTAAGATATAGAGACATGCTTTTAAAATCAATGAAATTATTATTTTTCTCAAAACATTTTATAAATAATTTTTGTTACATATAAAACATTTTTCCTTAACATATTCTATATAGAAAGAAGGTTTTGCAACATTTAATAAACAATAACTTAAAAGTATGATAGTAGTAGAATGATGATAATGTATTGTTGTGGTGTTTTTATTAGTAATGGTGAAGATAGAGATGACAGTGTTGGAGTGGACGGAGATGATTCTGGAGATGGTGGCGACGGTAATTACAAAGCTGCTGGGTGGTGGGGCTATAGTGAAAATGGTGCCCGTAACTGTAAGCTTTGTGTCAGTAATGGTAGATATGGTGACCATCAGTGGTGGGTCAAGCCTAGCG